CCAGGTGTGGCAGAGAGAGCAGTTACCCAAACAGACCGTTCCTGCCCACAGGGAGCTTATGATGTGATGGGGTGGTGACAGACAAGTGCGGATAAAGAGCGTCATGCCTTCTGTGCAGAGCATGCAGGGACAGTGGCGGGGGAGGCCTGGTGGAATGGAGAGTTTCTGGGAGGGAAGCCATACCTGGGACTGTGCAGAAGGGAAGGGCCCCAGTGGAAGCCACAGGCCTGGTGTGGCTGGAGCCCAGGCTGGGAGGGCAGCAGTGCCAGTGGGAGGGGACCCTGTGCTAGCCTGCTGTGACCCCCACACCTCTCTGGAGGATCTGAGAGCTTTCTGGTCCTATATAGAAAGCATCCCAACCCCTGAAGCTGGGCCTGGGGACACCCCAAGTCCCCATTGGCCACCGAGCACCATTGCAGAGCGTGTGCCATGTGTGCCGTGTGGCTCCTAGCCTGTGTGACCTTGGCCCTTCTGCTGCTGGTGGAAGCTCCATTTCTTGGGCCCTGCTGGATGCCTCACCAGGTGGCTGGGGCAGCAGCTGGCTCGCAACCCAGTTCTCTTCCCTTCCCCTTACCTGTTGGGTCTTGCAGCGGGGTCTGTGCCTCGCTCTGTGGTGGCCTGGGGGAGGGGCTGGAGCCCGGGCTCTGCCGCCGTGCTCGTCCTTGCCCATTGCCAGTCGACATTCAGCACCTCGGCTCGCATGGTAAGGTGTGGGCAAGATCCGGATGGTATTAGGATCTGGGGAGGCCCAGGTCCCTGCCCTGCTGGAACTGAGGTGCTGGGGAGTGGTGAGGCTGCCTCAGTGAGCTGTGGGGACAGAAGAGCTGGAGCCCACGAGGCTGGCGTACTGCACCTAGCGGGACCTGCCAAGTCCGGCCGGCCAGGTCCTGGGTCAGGGCCAGGTGGGGGGCTCTTTACCAGGGACTGTCCCACAGGCCTGTTCAGGGGCCAGGGTTGACTGGACATCGTACTATGACCCACCAGGTACCCTCTCGTCATGGACTGTGTTCCTCCCTTAACTGCCCTCATTTGACTGCCTTGGCTTTCAGGGCTTTTCCAGATCTGACGAGGGCGGCAGGCTCCCAAGCCTGGTCTGCACAGTGGAGTCCAGCACCTGCTAGTTCTCTTGGCTAGGGCTGCTGCGGGTGAGTTTCACAGGTGACGTGCTGTTGGCTGCTGACCCGTGACCTTGCTGCAGCTCTCCACTTCTCTGTGGGCTTTTGAGAAGCGAGAGGTGTCTGCCCACATTACTGCCAGCTTGGCTGCCTGCCCAGCCTGTGGGCAGCTCAGAGTTCTTAGTAGCACCAGTAAGAGGGATAGAGGTGTCATTAAGCAGCGAGACTGCAGGGGACGAAGGTGGACTGACAAGTGTGCAGAGCCTAGTGGCAGTTTTCTTAGGAAGGAACTCTGGGGAAGTGGCCTGTGCTGTGAAGCTGGGGACTTATTGGCTGTGACATTGAATGGCAGTGAATGGGAAGGGTGGCATCATTGTCCTGAATGGCACAGGTACCTGGAAAAACCACAGCTTTGTCTCCTCAGGAAAGAGTGTGCCAGGCCCCGGATTCCGGTGTGGGCTGGGGTGCGGGTTAGATGGTCTGAGCTCTAGGTGCCAGGCATGCCTTCCTGGTGTCGTCTCCATCAAGGCCACAGAGGAGGGCCGTTCCTTGCCAGGAGGGTGGGCAGGAGCTCAGTGCCGAGGACAATCGTTGGGTCCATTGTAAATGTGTGTGCAGAGCACACAAAGCAAATCTGCCCCCACTGTCAGGTGTCTGTTGGCACTGGGTGTACCCAGGGTTGTGCATCCTCCACCTCCTACCCACTTCAGGATGTCCATTGCCCCAGAGGGAAGTCCCATGCCCCTTAGCAGTCATTCCCCAACCTGCTTTGGGTCCCAGTAAGGGAGGGATATCTGCCAGATTGTCACTCTCCAGCTGCTCTAGAGCTTGAGGAGGGTGCCTGCTGGGTCTGTGACCGCCTCAGTGGCTTTCCCTGTTGTGACGTTGCCTGTACGTAGAACCACGCAGCACATGGTGGTCTGTGGCTGGCTTCTGTTGTCCAGGTGTTTTCTTTTCTTTTGGTGGTGGTGCTGGGGATTGAACCCAGGGCCTTGCCTAGCGAGCACTAGGCCAGCACTCTAGCACTGACTACGACCCTATATCTGCCCAAGCGTTTTCAAGTTTATAGGGATAGCGTGTATCAGTGCTTCCCTCCTTTTTATGAACGTGTGATATTCCACTGTAGGCACAAGTACTACATTTGTTATGTCATTTTTCAGTAGACATTTGGGTTGTTTTCAAGTTTTTTTTAAATTATAGAATTAGCTTGCTGTGTCAGAACTATAAATTGTGCAACCTTATTGGGACACAGTGGCCAGTCTGACTGTTCTTTCACGTTGTACTGAAAGCACAGGAAGCGTGTGTCACAGTTGGTTCTCGCTTGCCCCGAGTGATGGGTGGGAGCCCCGTGTCCCATCTGCATTGGCCCCTCCGTGGGGTTGGAGTCGGCTTGGTTTCTTCAGTGAGCTGGAATGTCGCCACTGTTCTGGGAGGGTTGGCTCCAGCTTCATCTCTATGTGCATGTGATCATGGAAAACTTGCCTTATTCTTGGTAAACCTTTCTGAGTTGTAAGTGTGCTGCTGGGAGCATGATTTCTGTTACTGTAACCATGAAAAACAGCTTATTCTGTGAGATTGTGTATAGCGTTGCTCATGTTTACTGCATCTCAGGCTCGAGGCTTAGAATTTAAGCTCAGCACAGTGGGGAGATTAATGGAGTTACTGTCACTGCCTCATTTCCCAGGAGTTAAACGAGGGTTCCCACAAGGACCTCCTGGGCTGGCATTTCTGCTGCACAGTACCTGCTGACCTTCCTCCCTCTGTCAGCTCCTGGCTAATTTTGAACCCTTCGAGCGGGTTTCTGGCTTTCCCCTCTTCTCCTTGAGGTGTTTGTTTCCATTGTTTTTCTTGTTCAATTTTATGGTCAGGAGAAAAATGCTGGGAAATAAATCTAGGCCCATACCTGTGTGCCAGGCTCCTCGCCAGAGGGTCCGTCCCATCATGGCTCTGGATGAGAAACCCTGCCAGCCCCATTCCCAGCCCTGGCAGCCCTGATGAAGCTGCAGGCCCTGCCTGGAGGAAGCACAGGCCTCACCCACAGGATCTTGTGAACTCCAGCTGTGCACACAGTCCAGTTAAGAATCTGGTGGGGGTGTCCCTGTGTACCTCCCCAGGGAGGGCAGCAGCCCCACTGCCCATCCCCCAGCCTGCAGCCCTTCGGGTGGGCTGCTGGCCCAGGGGATTCCTGGCTGGGTAGCTGCATTCCACCCCATCTGTCATTCCCTCATGTGCTGCTAGGCGATGGTGAGTATATATTGGTGCTGGGGATCCAACTTGGGTGTTCTACCACTGAGCTACATTCCACCCTTTTATTTTGAGATGGGGTCTCTAACTTGTGATCCTCCTGCCTCAGTTTCCCCAAAAAGCTGTTGTATTTCTTTAAGCTTTAAGACATGCCCATAGATGTCACATAAGCAGGAGAGTCCACTGTGCTTTTTGCCAACTGTGAGAGGTATCTAATCTCACTTCTTTACCTGGGGATTTTGAGGCAAATCCCCATATTTGATCCATAAAGGCTTGAGTGTGTATCTGAGTCACAGCATCACGACCACGACAAATGGCCACTTCTCAGTGTCACCAGATTTACACTTGGTTTCCCCAGTTGACGCAAATGCATTTTTATTTTCAGTTTGAGTTTGATTTGGTGCTGAGCAGTGTGGGCCATGCAGCACTCTTAGCTGCTGCCCAGTGATTTCAAGTGGTGCAGGCGAACTGCGGCTGAAGGAGTCTGCTCTAGTGGAGGCTGTGTCATGGGCACTCTTCATGGTGCAGAGCGCTCTGCTGGGCTTAAGAATGTGTGCTTTCCAGGTCCCGTTTCCCTGGTGCACCCGGTCTGGACAGTGGCCAGTTGAGCAGCTCAGCCACCACTGCTGGTCCTCTCACTACCTGGATATCCAGGTTCTCTCGGTGGAACTAGTGGCTCATCCCCAGGAGATGGGGGTCCCAGGAGAGTGGGCAGAAGCAGGCAAGCACTTTGATAAGCCTCCAGTGGCTCTGGAACCGTTGTTGGCCAGGGGAAGTCACCTGGATAAGCCTGAGTCTGTGGAAGGGTCCAGGGTGGCAGGGAGAGTAGCCAGCAGTGCCATTCTCCCCACCCTGCCTCATGTCCCAGGTGCCAGCTCCCTCCTGAAGCCCCAGAAAACCAGTTCAGGTGAGACAGTGAGGCATTCAAGGCCAGCCACAGCGTGGAGGAGCCTCAGAAGAAGCCAGGCACAGTGGCCATGTGCTCCACGATGTCCTTAGGCAGTATCCAAGCAGGCAAATCCAAAGGCAGAGGCTGGGCAGAGGAATGGGGTGACATCGGAGGGCATGTGGCTCCTCTGGGGTGACGAAGGTACTCTGGAATTAGTGTGATGGCCAGCATAGCAAAAGCCAGGATGTTGCACACTGTAAAATGGTCAAGGTGGCAAGTTTTATGTGAACTTGAATACAGAGAAGGATAAATGCAGGCTCTGCATCATCTCATATATATTTATCAGCCTCACTTTCCAAACTCAGCTCTGTGTGGAGCTTGAAGGCCCCCAGACTCTGCTTTGAGGTGTATGCTTCTGGACCGCTGGCTCCCGATGACATAGCGGTTCATTGGGGCACATAGACCCAGTCTCCCATCTCCCTGGGCTGCAGTTGGGGAGCCTTAGAAAACCAGCCCAGCTGGTTGCCTGGCCCACCGGGCAGTCGTGCAAGAATCCCGAGGCAGCAGAGGGCCCACCTTTCGCCTTGTAGAGCAAGGAGTAAACATTTAGCAAGTGCTGGAGCCTGACTTGGATGGGAAATCCCATGATTGTGCCATTTGAAAGGTAGCAGTCAGGGCTCTGCATCAGTCACAGTGCACAGTCCAAAACATGTGCAATTAACTTTAATTTTTTCAGTCTTCTGAAGAACACAGAATACAATTGTAATTTATTTTAAGTTGTGAGCTTGTCTCCAGGAATGAATTGATTAAAGAAGCCAAACAGTCCTGGGGATTTTATCTGCTTGATTTTCAACAATTTACTCCTAATTAATTATTCTGACTAGAAAAAAAAAATTGTACCTCTATGGGATGCCAGTATTTAGAAGTGACATTTCAAATCTCTGGTTGGACAAATTGGGGGAATTTTCTGATTTCGTCATTTGTTGAATTCACTTTTAAGTGTCTCCTCAGGGGATTATGTTCATTCCATGGGCTAGGAATTGAAGTAGAATTTGCATTTGGTTGAATTGGATTGAGCCACAGGTATTGGCTGCAAAGCATTGCTAGCTTACAGGGAAATTTTACTTCATAAAAACAAAGCTAAGGCTGTTTTTTTGTTTTTTTTTTTTTTTTTAAATGAACATTCTGGTTTTCCTCTGGAACATAATGGTTTTCTAATACACAATGATATGTATATAGTTTTCTATTTAACGTGTGCCCTGTTTTGTCAACATTAAGACAGTATTTCCATTTGCAATATATTGTGATTGTAATCTAAGGTAAATTGAGAGTGTTCTGGTAGCTGATGACCTGCTGAGTTGAAGTGCTAGGTTTCTAAATGTGTCACACGGGACCTGAAAATCCAGGCTGGGGAGGCCTGCTGTGTCATGGGAAGCCACATTTATCTCAAACAAGATATCATGAGCAGAGGCTGCATTTCCCTATCATAGCGCTTACTTTTAACATCGATTTTCTTACTTTCTAAAAAAAAAAAAAAAATAAGCACCATAGAAAGCACAGTGGCCAGGAAGGGATGTGTTGCCGAGGTGGGCAAAACTCTTAAAGCAGGTAGACCCTCCTGGGTGCATTGGCTCACACCTGCCATCTCAGCTACTCAGTAGGCGGCAGGACAGGGCAGGGCAGCAGGTCGATCGCTCATTTGAGGCCACCCTGGGAACTTAGTCCTTGTCTTAAAAGGGGGGGGATTCTGGGGATGTAGCTCAGTGATGAAGCACTTGCCTAGCATGCAAGAGTCTCCAGTCCAATCCCTAGCACCAGAGGGAAGAGAATGAAACAAAAGTAGCACAACAGAACCAAACATAGTGGCTTCCTGGGAATCCAGACCCTTAGAAACTGGTTTCTCTTCTCCAGGATCGTGGGCTTTCGTGCTGCTCTGTGCAGCCACCTAGGTCACTGGAACATGCAGCCCCACGGGTAAAGATGTGGCAGGGGTGCTTCTGTGGGACCTGCCTACCACGTACCTAAACACCAGGGGCACCTGGAGCACTGTACAAGTGGGCAGCCACGTACCCAGTTGCTGTAGAAGAGTCAGCAGGCCGCAGTGGACAGCCAGCAGCTTCTGATATGGTAGAGCAGAAAGAGATGCTGTGCCTGGAGACTGCCCATCCAGTTCCTGTCGTTCCTCAACCTGTTGTTTGCCAGTGGGTGAGTGCTGGAGGTGCACCAGTGAAAAAAGCTGAGGAGGCAGCCCTTCTTGGTTTCCCTGGTGCGGGGAGGACAGATGATGTGATACACAAGTATGTAGAGAAGAGTGGGGGGTGGTGGAGGGCAAGTGCCATTTTAATGAGCAGTCAGCAGTGGTCTCTAAGAAGGTGACAGTTTAGCAACGATCTGAAGAGGATGAACAAGCAAAGGCCCTGGGGCAGGCAGCCAGGAGGAGAAGAGTAGGTGACAGAAGAGGCCTGGCTTGGGCCTTTACCTGATAGAGATGGATGCCACTGGGAGCCTTGAGCAGAGGGAGACCCAGTCACCTTACCAGTCTCTGGCTGCTTCTGAAATGCAGGGGGGATTTGTCAGGGATTATGAACCAATCCAGGTAGAAGAAAATGATGGCCTATAGCGGCACTTTCATAGTAGAGAAGGTAAGTTGAGGCACTTCCAGATGTAAGAAATACTTAGATGACACAAGAAATCAGACCAGTGTTGGAAAGTGGGTGGGTAAGGCAGACTTTCCTACTGCCGAAGGGCTGCTGCCAGGACTCGGCTAGCAAGTGCACCTGACCTAACGTGCACTGCCCTGCGTCCTGATTGGAGGAGCTCGGGGTCACAGTCTGCATCATTGGCTGATTCTAAAATTGGGTTGGGCAAAGGGAAGGGCTACAGTTGGATCCAACTAAGGCTCTTCTGAAGACGGCCCTAGACTGCTGTCTCTCACCCAGGCGTGCTTCCGTATTTCAGAGTTGGGGCATTGTGCTTGTCGTGAGCTAGGTGTGAGAGGGACAGGAGAGTCATCGAGCCTGTTGACATTGTGGCCTGAGCAGCAGCCTCCTAACTGAGATGAGAATATGCAGTGTCAAGGGTTTAACACGGCCTAGTCACAGGGGTCTAGAGGAGTCAGGGCCTTTGCTTGACTGGAGGGGAGGACTTGGAGCTGGCGAGCACAGGTGGCCCTGGGGGCATCTGTTGAATATCTAGGTAGAGGTGCAGTGGTCAGAAGCCATGCTGCTGGGTGAGGTCCCCAGGGGAGGTGTAGGTTTGTGCAGAGCTGACTGTTGGGACCCAGCCCTGTGTTTCAAACCGAGAGAGTGGAAGGAAGGGCAGCCAGCGAGGTAGTAGTGGAAGCCAGGAAGCCTGGGAAGGCCTCACCTCTTAGGCAGTGTTGGTACAGGGCTAGATGTGGCACCGGTACAGTCTGATTTGATTTGCTTCTGAGTTTGTGAACATTTTCAGATCCTTGAGCCTGCACCATGCTGACCTGTCACAGTGCTGCGGGGTCCTGAGTGGAGAACTTGCAGTCACCCAAGGCCGATAGCCTAGGAAGTCCTCCTGTGTGGAGGGACGGACAGAGTCTCTTTGAAGTAGATCTTACACTTGTTCGTCTCTGTTTTTTGTACTTTAGTTGTTGTTTACAAATGGCATCTTTGTAAGATCAACTTTTAAGATTAGTACTGCTCAGACACAGGAACGAGAGCCCTGGCGCTCCCTGGGTCCCGCAGCGCCGTTGCTGGTGTGTGGCCGTGTGTCTGTGCCAGCCTCACTGTCTGCTTGCTGCTCTTGCTGAGCCTGCTGAGGCCTGTGGAAGCAGTGGTCTCGGGCCTCCTTGATTCTGAGCTTGAATCTTCCACTTCCCCAGTGAGCGTGATGTTGTCATAGGCCTTCTCAGGCCAGAGAAGCAGCCCCCGCTCCTGAGCTGCTGGGGGTTCTCATCTGTGTTAAAGTCATGAGAGGCTCTTGATTTTTCAGACAGGTGAACAGATGCAAATTATATCGGGCGTGTGTGTATGCTGCCACCTCATTTAAAGAAATAGCTGTGAGGGGGCCGGGGGCCTTGGGCCGTGGGCCGTGGTGCACGTCTGTAATCACAGTGGCTCAGGTGGCTGAGACAGGAATATTGCTAGTTCAAAACCAGCCCCAGCAACGGTGAGGTGCTAAGCAACTCAGTGAGACCCTGTCTCTAAATAAAATACAAAATAGGCTGGGGATGTGGCTCAGTGGTCGAGTGCCCCTGAGTTCACCTCCCCCGCCTCTCCCCCCCCCCCCAAAAAAAAGAAGTAGCTGTGAGCTCCCTGGGGGCACTTCATGTGAGAGTTCAGTTTCTCTGGGCTTTCTGGACCCTACAGAGAGTGCAGATTCAAAGCCCAGCCTGTTACTTGAGCCTGTAGCTAAGGGAGCCTGCTGCTTTGCCTCCACCATCTCCTGATTGCTCTTGGGCAGACCTTGTGTCCTCATTGTCACTGGTATGTGGTGCCCTCAGAGGCCACCAGCCTGGGTTTGTGACTCTGATAATTTCTTGATTTATCTTACCCTATCTCGTCTAAGGTAAAATGCTTCATAAAATTCTTCATACTAGTTAAGAAAGTGAACACAGTGCTCCTAGCACACAGTAGGGGTTCAGCAACATCCCTTTCAGATGCTGCTTGCTGGGGGACTTAGAGAACGCGGTCACAGATGCTGAGTGACAACTGCACTGCAGTGAGCACTCACCGAGGTGCCAGGCTGCCGGGTGCTAGCATGGTGCTGGGACCCCTGTGTGGTGGCAAATGCAGAGCCCTCCCTGTCTGCAGGGGGCTCAGGAGCCCCCTACACACCAGGACACATAGGTGGACTTGGAGAAAGGACAGGTTGGTTGCCTCACTGGGCAGAGCAGAGGCAGGGAGGGAGGGGCTGGATGGTGGCTGCGCCTGAAGGTCCTCCTGTCCTGCCGGAAGGTACCAGAAATTCCAGGGGAGGCTCTGGGGTCAGAGCCTCTCCCTCATTGAAGGTGGAGCTTCTCTGGATGACCTGAGGCCCAGGAAGCAGGAGAAGGGCAGGGTCCCAGAGCGGGGAGGGGTGTGGCGAGGGCATGTTTTCCTGGTGGAGCTCAGCAGGGCAGCACAGGGGAACCAGCAGTTGGTCTGTGCCATGGGCTCCTCGGTGTGGGGACATCGGTTGCTCCTGGAGGGCCCTAATGTTTGGCCTGCAAGGATTGAGGAAGGGCTGGATATCAAACTGGTGAATAACAAAGATTTGGCAAGGTTTGATCTCTTGCAAGGTTGGATATGGATGAGCAGAAGCTTCTCTGGATGGCCAGGCTTCCAGTGGTGGAACCAGACTCAGGTCTTGTCAAGTCCTGTTGCTTTTGCCCAAGTTGGTTCTTTTGGTGCAGTGGCCCTAAACCATCTGACCGAAGCCCCTGATCTCTGTGACAGCACAGGATGTGACTCTCCTGTGACGAGAGCCTCTTCGCATAGGGGTTGTGGGCTTTCTTGTGGATGTCCATTTCCTTCCCGAATGGCCGCTGCCAGTGGCAGGGCCGCTGTGCGGGACTTATAGCCCCTTGGTGCAGCCGGCTCTCATCCCTTCCCTCTCTCTCACCCTCTGTGTTATGTCATGTGGAATGATGAGCTCAGTGCTGCATGGGGCACGAGGTCCTGGGCAGCAGGGTCATTTTCCAGTTTTCCCAGGTGGTAGGTGGCACAGTGTCTTGTGCAGAGTATATAGAGTGTGTGATGTGCAGATAAGTGGAAGATATTCATAGGTTTTTCTGCTTCATTGGCAAAAATAGACATTCTTTCCAAGACAGGCCAGAGCTAAGACGTGCAGAGCCGTCAAGGACAGCTGAGAGCTCAGTCACCACTGCCCATCACCAGCACGCGGGCTTTGGGGCTTTTTGCTCTGTGGTGGCCGAGGCCTGGTCCTGGTTGGATGGGGCTGTTCCACCAAGCAACTGGAGAACGCAGTGGCAGGCAGCTTACCAAGGCTGACGCAGAGCGAAACTCCCCTCTCACTGGGTGAGAAACTGGCCTTCCACATCTCTTTCACACGTGTGCATGTGCAGATCAGAAAGACACAGATGGTCGTTCTCGGAGGGGACTTAGCTGGCAAGGTGCACTGCTGCGAACAAGAAGCAGCTCCCCTCTCCTGCAGGTCGGGTGACCCTGCTGCCCGAGTGGGCACCACACTTCCCAGAGTGTGTACTGGTGCCAGGTGTGCAGTCGGGCTCTGGAGGTGGACTCCTCCTGGTGCCCACTGCAAAGGGTGTGTGTCAATGAGGTGTTTTTCCGACACTTCAGGAGTGTGGGAGAAGGACCGCCCTGCCTGTGTCGAGTGAGCAGCAGGTCCTGCCCAGGCCGTGTCGGTCGGGTGGAGCTAGAAACAGAAACAGATTGGCCGAGTCGAAGTGTGAGTTCTCTTTAACTGTGATATAAACCCAGATTGTGGCTTTTGTCTTCTTTCAGATGGTACAATCACCAGCTGTCCTGTAGAAGAGCAGGGTGTGCTTCCATGCAAGCATGCTGTTTCCATCTTGCCCTGGCTGGCTGGGGCTCCTGGGCAGCTCCCCAGGGACTGGTGGTACCAGGGGAATTCTCTAGGACAGAGCTGTTTGGCCGCAGGGTGGCGTGATGATGGTGCTCCACTGTGGTGGCTAGGCACCTACCCCTTAGCCTGCCGCTATACCTTCTGCCTCCTAGCACCTGTGTGACCTGGTAAGGGCTTCACCTGTAACCCCCACCTTGTCGTTCATGAGAGGCACAGTGGGGAGACAGGCCCACCTTGGGGCCTGAAGTGAGGCAGTGACTTTGCACACATTTCAGCTTCTTTAACTTTAGGAAATGTCAGGAGGATGACATGTCAAGGGTGTTTTGACCTTCCTTCCAGAGGCCACTTGGTTTGTCCCTGTCATTTTTTCTAGTAATAGATAGAATATGCCTACTTATAAAGTATAGGAACACATCAAAGAGCCAGGAGACCAACCAAGACTTGGTGGCCCAGGAATAATCACTGATAGCATTTTGTTTTTTAATCTGCCTGTAAATTTCCTCATTCCTTCAACAAGACTATGGGTGTCAATATAGGACAAATGGGGTGCCCTCCACCATCTTGGAACCTGCCCACTTGCTAGTGTGTGGACCTTTTCATGTGATAAACGCAGCTGCACAGTGTGACTTAACTGATGGGTGTGTTCCTTTGCACTCAGTGTCAGCTGCAGTGGGTTGGGAACAGCG